GTCTATAAAATCATGACTGGTGTGGAGAAAATAAACAAGGAAGTGTTATTTACTCCTCATAACACAAGAACTAGGGGTCACCAAATGAAATTAATAGGTGGCAGGTTTAAAACAAACAAAAGGAAGTATTTCTTCACTCAACGCACAACCTTTGGAACTCTTTGCCAGAGGATGTTGTGAAGGCCAAGACTATAACAGGGTTGAAAAAAGAACTAGCAAGTTCACGGAGGATAGGTCTATCAATGGCTATTAGCCAGGATAGCAGGGACGCAAAACCATGCTCTGAAAATGTCCCTAGCTTCTGTTTGTCAAAAGCTGGTAATGGGCAACAGTAGATGGATCACTTGATGATTACCTGTTCTGTTCATTCCCTCTGAAACATCTGTCATTGGCCACTGTCAGAAGACAGGATACTGGCTAGATAGACCATTGATTTGACCCAGTATGGCTGTTCTTACATTCTCAAGGATCTCAAAAACCCATCCATACCACTAGGGAGATAAGCAAATATTATTAAACCCATTTTGCAATGGGTAAGCTAAGACAGAGCAGTTAAGTGATTTGCTCAAGGTCGCATAGTAAGTCAGTGGAAGATCTGGGAACAGAACTCAGGAGTCCAGACTTGTTACAGGATCCATTGTCTTATTTGCAATTCACCAGTTCCATTCAGCCCACTGCAAGGTGAAATCTATGTAGGTATTTATAGATCCCCATCACAGTGGTAACCAGGCATCTGCACTGCTCCAAGCCATCATGAAGGGACTGTCCAATGCTTTCCTGTAATATCACACCACCATGCAGCCACCCCATTGGACCCATGCTCAGAAAGGAGATGACAGATTCTAGAGGAAGCTATGGCAGTCTCTCTGCATCCAGGGAGGATTGGCGCAATCCAGGAGTTCGTGCTTACTCACAGATGGGAAATGGAAGGAGAATTGACTGTGAAGACTGCATGATTGTCAGATGCAGGCTTCTGGTTATACTGCATTATTACATCAGAGCTCCTCTTCCTTTGTTGCAGATGAGGAAACTAAGGTTACCTCTTCACCAGAATACACGACCCGTGGATGATTCGGGCTCAGGCTTCAAAAACGTCACATAGATGTTCATGTTAGGGCTGGAGCCCGGGCTCTGGGATCCTCTCCCTCATGGGGTCCCAGAGCCCAGGCTCCAGCCCAAGCCTGAACATCTATACAGCAGCTTTATAGCCCTGCAGCCCGAGTCCTGCAGTCAGCTGCAGGTGTCTAATTGCTGTGTAGACGTACCCTAAGAGCTCCAACTAGGGGTGGCAACATAGAACACCTCAACAAACAAAGATTTGTCTCCTATCCATAAATGGATTTAATTCAAATCCTTCCCTCCTCTGCCACAGTTCACACACACTTTAACTGGGAGGAACTGCTTGTTTGGGTGACTAGAATTTCCAGTTTGCTGACAGAGTGAGAGCACAAAGAAATAACTAAGAGGTGCTCAGATACCACAGGGATACAACTTATAAGAGCCTAGAGTGATAAAGATGATTATTGTACAGTAGCTTTATAGAAAACTTCACCATGTTACGATGAATGCAACTCGTCAGACAATCAAATAGTCTAGAGAAGCCATGTCCAAAACCCAGTCACGCTTTCTGGTGATAGGTTTTAAACTGCACAGAAAGCCAGCTTGGCCAGGCACATATTTCCTTCTCTGGCTCCCGCAATGCCTCATCTCCCATCCGAAACAATGCTTCTCAGTCCCACTTAGGCCATGCCTTCCCTGTAGGACCCACTCACTGCGGGTTGGTCTGTTCTTTTGCTGGGACAGAATGCTGCTGGTTGAAAACAATTTAAAAAAATCCATTTTAAGTGGCTATCATTTTTGCAAAGAAGTCTTTCCTCCAGGAGCCTCAAGATTTAGCTGACCCCTTTCATTCTGGGATCCATTCTTCCTACTAAGCCTCATCCACTGTCAGTTGGCTGCCAGTGCAGTGTGCCCTTCTGACATCTGTGATGGAAAAGAGAGACCTCTTCTAATACTATCCTGGACAAATATATCAAATATGCACACATCCAGGCTTCGTCGACACCTGCAGCAGCATTCAGAACTGTATGCCAAAAGGAAAAGACTAGAGTGAGGTAGGAAAGGGTTAATGCTACCCAGGCGCTCATATTAAAATCCATGCTATTCATGTTCTTAGTGATAGATGCTACTGGGTGAACAGACTTATCTTGGATCTCATTCCTGCTGTCATTTCGTAAGATGCTACTGTGTTCTGCTCCCTTCCGCTCAAATATCTCTTCATCTCGTTCCTAAGGTAACATCACAAAACACCAAATTCTCTACCAATGTTTGGCTGTGTAGGTAAGAGAAGCAACACGTTTTTGCATTTTTAAACAAAGAATTTAAAAACCAGACTGAAAAATAGTAAACAAGCTCCGGAAAAGCTGAGAAGTATCTATTACAGCTTCACTACTGAGATGCTGCGGCACTTTCATTTGTACAACTAAGATTTGGCTATGAAAAACCACAAGGCTGGTACAGGGACAGCGTGCGAGGAATAGGAATGAAAGGACTAGAAAGATTATCAGAGCTGGGAGCACAAGAAATCTGTACTTGAAACGTACTGAAAGCTTTAATAGGATGGCGTTACTTTGGATAAAGCACCACCAGATAAAGTTTACAATCCAAAAATAATCCTAGTTTCTTCAGAGAGATACAGGCAAGATCTGGATGCCCAAATTTTCACTCAAAGTACTTTGCTAAATTTCTTATATCTGTCCTGGGATGAGCAGAGCCTCGTGGTTAGATCATAAGATGGGAAGTCAGGAAAACAGAGTTTGATTCACGGCTTTGCAATGGAGATGTTATGTGGCCATGAGCAAGTCTCTATGCTGTCACTTTATCAGTCTGTAAAATGACTAAAATGCCACCGGACAAGACTGCTGTTAAGCAGTTTGAGCTCTTCAGACAAAGAGATATTGTATGAGTGTAACAGGGGTGCACTGTCCCTTTAAGGATAGTGGAGCTTGGGTGGTGAGAGACAACCCCTGTTCTGTAGCATGACTATTTTAAGGTTTTGGAGTTTTGATGTACTAGGAAAATGGCAGAGGCAGATATGGGGAGAGAGGAAGCAGTCCTGGGGGAATAGTTTCTGTCTGAGGAAAACTTATTCTACTATTCCCCTATGAGCCTGGGACCAGAAGCCTTACAGAGAGGGCAGGGCAAGGCTCCCCTCTCTCCTAACCAACTAGGACCTGCTCTGGGAAAGAGGGCTGTATATTTCTGTTTCTTCTATCAGAACAGGGAGACGCCTTTTGGATTCCTGAGATTGGAGTTAAGAAATCTAAAGGGATATCTATTATGACAGCTGAATCGATGGGAATAAATGTTAGCATTAAAATGGATAAGGGATGTACGGCCTACCACAGCTGTATTCTTTTCATCTTCATTATCAGATATAGTGGCAACTAAAGGGACACCTCAGAAAGCGGAAGTGATTTTAATAAAGGAAATATTGTTTTTGGCAACAGAAATAGTATACTTAGACATGCCGTAGCATGGATTCCAACAAATGGTGGGAAACCTGGCAATAAAATGGCAGATAAGGAAGCAAAAAAGGTTTTAAAAAAATGGAGACATTGATATAAAGATTCCTGTGGGGAGGGTGGTTTCAGGGCTTTAGCCCCATAGGAGGTGCCTGCCTGGGCTCAGAGCTTCAGCCCCATTCCGGCTGAAGCTCTGAGCCGCAGCAGGCATGCCCTGTGGGGCTGAAGCCCTGAGACCCCCTCCCCGCTGGGCAGAAACTAGAGGCAATGCATGGGGGGGGGCATGTGACGGCATGTGTCCTTTTGCCAGGGTTTACTGGCCCTGCTCAGTCACATGGTGCCACCAGGTCCTCTCCCTGCACTGCTGGAACCTGCAAGCTGGGATCTCCGTGGCAAACAGCTGGGAGCTGCAGGGAGAGCCACTGACTCTCCCCATGGAGCTAAAGCAGTGGCCCCTCCCTGCAACTCCCAGATGTTTGCTGCTGCCTCTCCACCAGGAGCTAACACCTGCGAGCTGCAGGGAGGGGCCACCTAGGCAAGAGGGGGGGCGTGCCGGAGGGGGGAGGAAGACTGCATGACTCAAGCTGTTGGGGGAGTGAACCTTTACATTGTGCCCCCCTCCCTCAGCAGGCACCTAGCCTCACCACCCCACCGCAGGGCGGAGGCCCTGAGCTCCCCGCCCCAACAGTCTGGTAGGCAGAGAATGTGGGGGGTCTAGGGGGCTCCGCAAGCAGCACTTTAACTGTAAAAGAGTTATGAGCCAGTTTGACCACCCCGGTCTACAAGTGCTTACATGCATGGGGGACAGAAATCTGACAGAGGGCTCTTCAATTCAGCAGACAAAGGTCTGACAAAATCCAATGGCTGGAAGTTGAAGCTAAACAAATTCAGACTAGAAATAAGGCACATTTTGAACAGTGAGGGTAATTAACTATTGGAACAACTTGCCAAAAGCTGTGGATTTTTCACCACTGAAAACTTTAGCCATTTCACAGGTGTGGAACTCAGGGCAGAAAGTTAGCGGTTTGCCTAAACTCACAAAGGGAGTCTGTAGCAGTACATGGAATTGATGCCAGATCTCCTGAGTATTGTACCTCAGCCAATAACCACCCTTCTTCTCTAACCCCCAGTTCAGCAGACTCTTAAAGCACATGCAGAAGTTCCATTGAAATTAGCAACAACTTTTGTACATTGACGTCAATGTGAATTAATCAAATGCGGGAGGGAGTGCCAAATTATGACCTCATGCCCCAATTCTGCAACCATGTTCATACCTGCTTCGCACATAAGCAAGTAGTTCCAGTTGCATAAAGTTAAGCACATGCATATGTCAAAGATTGGGGCCTAAAAATCTACATATACATTGTGTGACTGAAGTACTCATGAAAGACCATCAATCAAAGTGCTTCATGTGCGCATAAGGCACAAATACAGATTGAAATCATAGCACTAGTTTATAGCAAGTGCAAGCCTTACCTGGCCAGGTTCACTTTTCCAGGTGCCCAGTCCTATAAGAGGCATCTTCTGCCCAGTGTGGAGCACAACAAAGTCACACGTAGAAGACATTTTTACCTAAAAAAGTTAATTTTTCATTATAACTACAAAGTTGCAACAACTTACATTTTCTACGCAATAAAGAAAACACGAAAGTCCCAATTCTGCTCTCATGTTGCACCACTGTACGTCTCCATCCAACCTATTCTCTACATGTGGCACATGTATAAATTGATTAATTTAACAGTAATAAGTCGCCAGGACCAGATGGTGTTTACCCAAAAGTTCTGAAGGAACTCAAATGTAAAATTGCAGTTACTAACTATGGTATGTAACCTACCATTTAATCAGCTTCTGTACCAGATGACTGGAGGATAGCTAATGTGACACCAATTTTAAAGAGGCTCCAAAGGTGATCCTGGCAATTATAGGCCAGTAAGCCTAACATCAGTACCACTAGCCAAATTGGCTGAAACTATAGTGAAGAACAGAATTATCAGACACACAGATTAACATGATTTGTTGGGGGAAGAGTCAACATGGCTTTTGTAAAGGGAAATCATACCTCCTCAATCTATTAGAATTCTTTGAGGGGGCTCAAACTTGTGGACAAAGGTGATCCATTGAATATAGTGTATTTGGACTTTCAGAAAGTCTTTAACAAGCTCTCTCACCAAAGGCTCTTAAGCAAAGTAAGCAGTCATGGAATAAGAGGGAAGGTCCTCTCATGGATCAGTAACTGGTTAAAAGACAGGAAACAAAGGGTAGGAATAAATAGTCAGTTTTCAGAATGGAGAGAGGTAAATAGTGGTGTCCCCCAAAGATCTGTACTAAGACTAGTGTTGTTCAACATATTCATAAATGATCTGGAAAAAGGGGTAAACAGTGAGGTGGCAAAATTTACAGATGATACAAAATTACTCAAGATAGTTAAATCCAAAGCAGACTACAAATTGTTACACAGGGATCTCTCAGGGATATATTAGCATTGTAAAAAAGTACAGAGAAGGGCAACAAAAATTATTAGGGATATGGAACAGCTTCCATATGAGGAGAGATTTAAAAGACTGGGGCTTTTCAGCTTGGAAAAGAGATGACTAAGGGGGGATATGATAGAGGTCAATAAAATCATGAGTGGTGTGGAGAAAGTGAATAGGGAAGTGTTATTTACTCCTTCACGTAACACAAGAATCAGGGGTCACCCAATGAAATTAATAGGTGGCAGGTTTAAAACAAAGAAAAGGAAGTACTTCTTCACACAATGCACAGTCAACCTATGGAACTCGTTGCCACGGAATGTTGTGAAGGCCAAAACTATCCATCAATAGCTATTAGCCAAGATGGTCAGGGATGCAACCCCACACTCTGGGTGTCCCTCATCTCTGACTGCCAGAAGCTGGGAGTGGATGATAGGGGATGGATCACTGGATGATTGCCTGTTCTGTTCATACCCTCTGAAGCACCTGGGCATTGGTCACTGTCGGAAGACAGGATACTGTGTTAGATGGACCATTGGTCTGACCCAGCATGGCCATTCTTATAATAGCTTAGTCTCCTGTGGACTGTAGTTCTATTTTTGGTTGCTGGATTTAGTGTATGGGTGCTGGTAGTGGTGGTGGCCTGCGATCTACAGGAGGTCAGACTAGATGATCTAGTGGTCCCTTCTGGCCTTAAACGCTATGCATACGACAGTGTAAATCATGAATAACACCACTGAGTCCAGTGTAGGTATATTTGCATAAAGGAGATCAAAAATCTTTCACAAAGGGTCTAGGGAAAATAAAACATTATCCTTTCCCTGTTGCTGTCCTCTCTCCTCAATGTGATTTACATCTGTTGGACAGCTGTAAAGCTGCAAAAATTATATAACTTAAGAACTATGGTGGTATAAGTCAAAAGATTTATTTCTCTATTGCACTATATTCTTCAGAAAAAAGAAGAACAGGAGCGGATACAGACTAACACGGCTGCTACTCTGAAACCTATATTCTTCAGGGAGACCACCACCTTTGGCAGTGAATATCTCAGCGCACATAAGATTAATCTCCTGGCTATTATATATATGGATGTAAATGTACATTACAGGTCTCATCCTGCAAACCCTTCGTCACACAATCAATCCCAATGAACTCAGTGGGACTACTCACATGAGTAAAGGCTTAAAGGACTGGGTCCATAATTTATAAAGTTATTATACTGCTTTAAAAAACATGAATTCAGCCCATCCAAGAAATATGGTTCCTGTCTCTCACACTCCAGACAAGCAGAGGCCTAACAACATTGCATGCAGACTAACTGGGGGATGTTTTCTATGACCTCCCAAATGATGAAAGGCCCAATCCTGCAAGTTGCTAAAAGCACTTAACTCCCATGTCAGGGAAGTGAAGGACAGCAAGGAAACAATGTGTATTGCACTGTATGTTGATACAGACCGGGAAATGCACTACCACTACACAGGCAAGAAGGGATTTACTGTCCTATAAAGGAGGATTTTTCTGGAAAAGATTTATCCCCCTCTCCCCACGGGAGGACTTTTCTTATTACATCAGTGTTTATAGCAGTGTACAGTTTTGGCCATAAATTTGCTCATGGTGTCTTTTTAAGTACAGGCCCTCAAATGGAAAGATATATTGTATTTGCCACTTTCATGCATTAAAAAGAAAAAACTGAATGCACATCTTTAAGCTCCAACACATCATGTTTCAGATTTCCTAGGGTGTCGGAGTACACAATGCAGCAACCTGGAGCCACTTATACCGAGTACAAGCTCGGGTGACGAGAGATTCCATAACATCCCAGAAATTAGTAGTAAGAATAGTAAGGACAGAAGGAAACTAGTGAGCCATTTTTCAAGCTTAAATACAGAGTGCTTCTGCAGGGTTTATGCCAAATCCTATAGCAGTGAAAAATATGGCATTTCACCTATTCAGAAGATGAAGTTATGCATCCAAGGAGCTTGTTGTTCTACTGCTTTACCAGCTTGTCACCAACTGGTGCAGGTGCATACCTGCTGCATTTGGGGAGAGGTAACTGATTTTGTCCAAATTACCTACTCCAGGCTGTGGTTTGGGGACCAGAACAGACACAAGGAGGCCCACCCACATCATGCCTTCCCTTCTCCCCTTTGTACACCTTGGGAGGAAAACTTTGGGGTCATAGGGTGTTAAGAGTAAGTGTTTGCAGGAGAGAGAGAGAGATGAAGAAATCTGGGCAGGATGCAGGCTGTGCACACCCAGTTAGATGCATAATTAGTCCCATCATTCTATCCAAAGCAGAGAGTACAATTTTGATTTCACAGTGGTATTGATAACCAAATTGAGTTCAATGGAGATATTCCCGATTTTTACCAACATGATAGCAGAACCATATCATCTTGTTATCCAAATGTATTCAGTAAGGTGTCCCACAGACCCAGTGCTGAAAATTTTAGGTTCCAATTTACCATTCCCCTGCAACTTGTACCAGCTGTTGCTATTTGCACCCATGCAGAGCAAGCATAAAACTCTACCAGATCAGACTGGTAGTGTTTTACACCTCCTTTGCGGTAGAGACAGGAGACAGGGAGGAGACTCTTCAGAAATATGGAATCTAGAAAAAAAATCATCTCAATGGACAGTGCAAGACAATGAGGAGTTTTACAAGCTAGGCAGGCAGAGCTATGAATTTTTAATAACTATGCAACATAGAACAATGTAAAACAATACGCAAATGGGAGCTAAAACCCAGCAGTTCCTTACCACACTTCTGTTATTTTATTACAAATATCATTTTCTTTCACCTGTTCTTTCGATACAATTTTTGTAGTGACCGGCAGAGATCCAATGAAAAGGACACAGTTCCTTAAAATTCAAGAGAGAGTGGCCCACCCCACCAAAAGCTGAATTGTAACATGCTCTATTGGAAATAAAAGTTTGGTGATTAGATACAACACCTTGCATCTGTACTTTACATGCAGGACCTATTAGTGTCAGTATAGACAGGGCCAGAGGCCTGATTTAGCACAGCTTCATACAGGAGTAGTAGTCTTCTGTTGCTGGAGAAAGAGGAACAATTGTGCAAAGTGTGTTTTTGATTTAGGAGGGACAGAGATTTTAGGATTATCTATCCTTTACACTATAGTATCCAAGCACTTCCGAGGGTATAAGTTTGGCATAGCAAAATTCCTAGTGGAGTCTTTCTGCTCTTCTACAATTTCTGGTTATAGGAAACTTTGATTTTGGGGTGGGGAAAGGAGGTACATAAATAGCATGTTGCTGATGGTGGAAAATTTTTATCAAAGAGGAAGGTCTTGCAACATGTCCTAATGGTTGTTCTTATGGTTGAACTGTTAAAGGAAATCATGTTTCAGGATGCACTCCAAACCTGCTAACTTCCTCAGCTTTTGTTGGGATCAGCTATTTAGCTTGGTTTCACAGGGCTGCTTCCTGAATTAAGTTCTACCCACACTAGAGAGACAAACTCTGTCACCAACAGAGGTTGGTCTAATAAAAGATATTACCTCACCCGCCTTGTCTCTCCACTATCCCGGGACTGACACAGCTACAACAATACTGCATTATACCCACACTAGATAATCTACTTGTAAAGATCCATGAACAGTATGTAGTATCAGTTCGAGACTCATCTACATGGGGAAATTGACTAGAATAGCTATTCTGGAACAACCATTCTACAGTGGCTATTCTGCAATAGCTGTTCCAGTCAATCTCCCTATGTAGAACCCTTCGTGTTGGGACAGGGACACTGATGAAAGAAGGTATGTTTTGCTACGTCCTGCTCCTTGGACTCTGCCTTTATACATCTACAGCTCAGAGTAAATGGGAATTGAATGGCAGAACTTGTTTTTAATCACCTAAATACATAAAAAAGACAGGTCTATTTACACCCAAGTATAATTACAGTTGTGTGTAATGTTAACTGTGTTGGCAGGTAGCATAAGTAACATGCTAGTTGAGCTGTATTTTAATAAATACAATTCACATTCACCCTGAACGCAGAACTTTAACCCAGAGGCCAAGGTATGCATACCTAATCAGTAACTGTTGATAGCACACAAGTACAAAATTATCCTACTCCACATAAATATAGTTTTATATTAACACTGCATGGTGCAGAGGTGGCAGAACTAGAAAGTCTGGAAGGGGGGGAAAAGGCATAAGCTAAAGTCTAATATTTTCCTGTCCAGATGTCTCCCTTCACCTGATTTGCTTTGAAGTCAGCATCATTTGTAAAGAAACGCATAAAGAGGTCCAGCAGCCTGCAGTTATTTTTGCAATAAAAATGTGGGACCGTTTTTGTAGCAATGAAGACAAAAATGAAACAGAGTCTGTCAATAAGTTAATATATAATTAAACAATCATGGTTAAACCTGGGTATGAAAAGCAGGGTTCATTTCTCTGTGCATGTGTGTGGGGTCCGCAGAAGAAAACCTGAAGTTAATGGGGTGAGAGTCAAAGATGATGTGAAAGTAACATGAATAGCTTCGGGGGGTGGGGGTGTCTATAATGACAAATGACTAATAGAGAGAGACGTAAATTAAACGAATGTATCAGCCTCCCTTTAAATCTCACTTCTTTTGGGGGCTGGTGGGAAGTCCACTAGTTTGGTTTGTTTTTCTAATCAGAGGTGCCATAGTTTTGTAGCACTCGGTCGCTCTTGCTCCACAGCTCTGAGGTTAGCTCTCCAGTTTTTCCATTACTCTAGTTTAAACTCTACAATAATCTTTTTGAATGAAGTTTAACCTCAGGTACCCACATGCACAAACCGGACAGCAAAATGCATCCCTCTCCCCTTCCTTTTATAGACTCAACGAAGCGATCATCCTACCAACTTCTGCGACAAAAGCTAATGGAAATGGGACATTTAGTCCAAGACAGCCACAGCTTTTTGCAAATCTCTCGCCCCGCGGAGGGGGGGGGGGGGGGAATACACAGAAGTCTAATATTTTCCTGTCCAGATGTCTCCCTTCACCTGATTTGCTTTGAAGTCAGCATCATTTGTAAAGAAACGCATAAAGAGGTCCAGCAGCCTGCAGTTATTTTTGCAATA